AACCTCGGTTAGTTTCTAGTGAGTGTAGCCAGACCCGTAGCTAGGTCCGAAGGATGAAGGGTGCGCATATCGGCAGCGCCCGTTTTGAAGTTCGATCTGCGCTAACTGCGCCCGTAGATTTCTGAGTCTACGCCAACTGCGCCCCCTTTATCCCTTTGCTACCGACCCGGCCCCCGTTTCACAGTCGACAGCATGTCAAAGTCTACCATGGCACTGTGTGCCAAATTTCCAAAAGGGTTAAACAAATTAAACACGACACTGCACATGCGCCACGGGCTCACTGCTATTGGCGCCCGTTGCGTTTTTATAAAGTCCCTTGAATTTGCGCCCGCGTGCCCGTGCGCTAGTTTCGGACGGCGAATAAAAAGCCGAAGTTAGCCGCGGAGGGCGATGCGTGCGCCCGTACGCATACCTCCTCGCTACGGCCCTGAGTGTAACTGAGCAGTTAAGAAAAGACAGTCTCTGCAGTATGGTTTCGGCTACCCTGAGCGCATTTATTATTACACAAAGTGATTTCAGATAGCTGACAATTCCTCCAAATGCACACCATGGCGCCATTTTTTAGTGCATGGATACCGAGAAAGAAATATCAAGAAAGAATGTGTTAATGTTAAGCAAGCTTAGACAGAAAAACAGCTAGCAGAAAGATATGATGGACAGCTAGGAGAAGAGCTTCGGCGAAATGGTTGAAAACAAGGTTGATGACCTTAAGAAAAGGTTGATCAGAAAGGTTGATGACCTTTAGAAAAGGTTGATCAGAAAGGTTGATGACCTTTAGAGAAAGGTTGATGACCTTCATTGAGCGTCAACCATCAACCCGTCAACCTTCCTGCCGGCTACACGCGCGCACTCACGTTACATCCGAAGACCGTTGCATTTTTTTAATGTAGAGTAGAGCTCATCTGTAAAGCTATTGGTTTTGTTTTTGTTGTCAGCTAAAATACTGACCACCAAAGTGTCATAAGCTGCTGCCCACCGCAACAACCAGTGCGGCGGCGGCGGGTCAGTTTGCTTTCCGAGCAAGAGTTCGTTTGGGTCAGAAAAGTCTTCGCTCGACGGGAAAGTGGAGAGAGTCCAGTAAATATTGGCCAGCTCAAACGAAGTCACCGTGCCAACCGTAACTATGATACCGCACACCGTGAGCCGGGCTGGCAGCGTGGGGTGCGTCAGGATCCCTCCAAACGGATTGATATAGGCTAACAGTCGTCCACCCACGAATGCATTTAAAGTCCTGAAAATATCGTAAATTATTTATCTAGCTCATGGCTTTTCAATATTTTATTTATAACTAACTGAAATAACTTTAGGTTAATATATTACGGGATGGATTTCGATAGGTCCTGTGCAGTTAAGCCCTACCAGTCGCATATTTCCAGCACATTAAGCTCAGGTAATTAGCTATCGCATTTGTCACCCACAATCCCTCGGCTTGATGGATTTCCCACCAGACCGCCGCAGATTGGACGGGTATTTCCCAAATACATGATGGGAGGTCAGCCCATCTGAGAAAGTGCAAAAATTATTAATGAGTCCATCCAGTAAGTGGCTGTTATTACTCAACTGATACAGTATCTTACAGCGCTATCAAGGCGGCGACAGTGATAGTAGTCATGAACAGATTGGTGCTGGTACGCTTTTTGGCTGACTTCAGCACGGCGATGTTGATCGTATTGCCAACGGTACGACAAGCTAGAAAGAATGAATAAACTATCCACTGAACAATGTACCGCCATAATTCAATCTTAAGCGCGCGGCTATTGGAATAGTGCGACTCGTAATCAAAGGTCATGTTGGTAGAGCAATTATACGCCAGTGATTCGTTGGTGGTCCAGTTCGGGGGAATGTAACAATCCAGTGTAGAGTTCATTATGATGTTCGTGGATGACCTTTGCACTTAAACTGTCGAGTTTTGCACGGACAACGAAGGAAAAACACAGTCGGGTGTACAGGATTCAGTATAACGCTATTAATATTTTTTCGGTACCCTTTTGGACACATTCTGGATGATGGATGAGTAAAGAGCGCAGCTGTATGGGAGCCATATCTGTTTACGCAAGCAAATCCTGGTTTTTTAAGCTAACCGTTTGTATCCAGTGAAATTGATGCTAAGTCTGTCCGGAAGTTCGACACTTGACGTCTTGTTGTGTCAATGACCAAGCTTGCGGAAGAAGGTTTTTGGTAAAAGCAGTACAAGTTCCTGCGTATGCGCTGAGCATGAAATGCGCTTTTTCGCATTTTCTGCTTGTCGTCTCTAGTTTCCCTATGACATGAAGGAAATCTACACTTACCTAATATCCATCGTGCGCTACCCCATTACGTAACCCATTACACTGGACGCCATATTTATGGCGTCCAGTGGCGTCCACTGTGCAGTGTGCACTTGTCAGTGATCACACTATGATTCAACACATATTGATGCGTCGCGTTAGCACAAACGAGAAATACCGTTTAGAGCAACGACCTCAAAGATCCTTGCTACACTGCACTTGCACATCATTTTTTAATTTCTGTATACCGCGTGTTAGCCCGGGATTAGTTGTTGCACTCATGCACAAGTAATGGCAACACAAAAAGCCTAAAAATTTCGGAATATTATTGTTAAGTAGAAATTCCGCGCATAAAACATTAACATTTCTTGTACTTAATGTAATCCCGCGATACAATTTATCGCTTGTAGTACCCGACAACCAGTATGCAGAACAGAGCGTAAAAAAAAATAAGAGCGCATTGTGCCGACCAAGCGCTTTTTCTTGGCGCGCTTTTTTCTTCGTGCATTGAGTAAAGAAGCAGAGGTTACGCGCAGGTTCTAATAGAAGCATAATTTATTCGACCCAGGCCAGATTGAATATGAGGAGACTGCTTTCAAGTTCTGATCTTTACACATCCAAGTCAGTTCCTGTTTGAGTAGAACGTGGGCTGCTGGCCGTGGCCGCTCATGCAGTGGGTGCAGTCACTGCAGTGCTACTTATATATATAAGCATAAACTGCGCACACGATATGATAACTGCAGCGAAAACACAGGTAAAAATGTTACTATTATAAAGTTTACATCTTTGCGGGAGTATACAGTAAATGTGGAGTGGGAAAACAATGATATCAGAATAAAGGCTCCAACCAAACGCTTTCAGTATTTTCAGTGTCATTGAGAGAAGTATGCGCAGATACTATATAGATATAGCCCTACAGAGTAGTTGTGTTTGTGTAGTATATAGTACACAAGCACATTGTACACCAAAGATGATTAACGAGAAGTTATACCGTGTTCGTGGTCTGAGTGGCAAAATCGCTTGCGCTCGATGCGCGAAACGTTAATATCCGAACCCACACAATTTATAACAACCAAAATGATTATACCACACACCTTTATGAGAGAAAAAAATGTTTGTATGAAAAAACCGAAAAAAATGATGTTTTTCAACCCAATGTTTCGAAATGTAATAACAAATTTCATTGATTCCAAAACAATTAAACTCCAACATAGAAGTGGGGCTTACTGAAATAGGAAAAATTTGGTTAGGCATTGGTGTGATGTGAAGTTAGGTCAGACCATACTAAATGCAATCACAAAGTTCGAAAAATGAAAATTTTTGTTACCCGACATCGTATAACTTCTTCTTAAAATAAAAATGCGTTCTGATTGTGACCTTTATGTATGCATGCCGGTTAATCCTGGTTTGGCATGGTCCGAACGCGGACCGGTGACCGTTGCCATTGTCGCGATACGATACAGTGCGAGTACTGGCTGATCTTTTGGTGGAGTGTGAGACAACCCTCCCGCATCTGGTGGTCAGCAGCCGGTGCACTTGTTGTCGATAGTCCTTGCTGACCGCCAGATATACGAAGAGGTTTAGTGATAATTCGCCATCGATGAGACATCACACAGCGGTATAACAGCCGCGTTAGTGGGTGTAAGCGTAATACTCGTATATTACGCTTACACCCACCATCGCGGCTGCCTGTATATAGGCAGCCCAAAGACCTCGGCCAGCATTATACCGTTGGTTAGCAGACTGGGAGTTTGTGTGACACTGCAGACGGCGACGGTGCCCAATAGCAGAATATGGGAGTGATGGTGCGCTTATCGCAAGAGTCGCTGGTTTGATCGGAGTGGCTCCCACCTTTTTTTGGGTATCTTCAGTTTCCCTGTGACATGACGGATATCTGCTCGTAATGCAGCGCACTGGTTCTTCTGGAAGCGTGAAGTGCGTCGTGCGTTAACCAATTGCAAAGTCAACGTGATATGTTTCGTCCTTGGCACATATACAGAACGCTTTAGTTTGCTAGCAAACAGGTACGGTAGTAGCCGATAGCAAGGCGAGAATTGCATCGGAAGTTGGTCAAAAAATATGCAGGGAATATGCCGGTTATATGAGGATTACATCGGTTTCGTTTCCATAAGTATAGACAAACGGCGCCAGTGACCTTTCAAATTCATGCACTATTCATATTCATTTTCTTCGTACCAATCCATATACAGTAGCATGTTCTGACGGTAATACAACGGTAACAAATTCCGGCACGTAGAAGAACTATACAACTTTATCGGAAAGTGTAATTTTACCTTTGTACCAGCTAGGTATATAAAAAAGCGACCTTGAATTTTGTATTCCCTAAATACTAAAAGATATACTGTAACAGAATTAAAAGAATCTGTAACGAATATCTGATGATGTTCTGCAATTGCAAACCATGTCCTGCTATCGCCTACTCGTAGTCCTTTGCTCATTCGCAATGTTAATCGTTGATAATAAATGAACAAGTATTTCAAAACTGTAATTGCATTCTACAAAGTACAAAGTATTTGTAATAAGCACCAATTTCGTCGCTTTAATTTTAATTGTTATTATCCCGTGTAAGTATTTCTGATATCACTGTTTAATTTTTCGTCCCACCACAAGAAGTACACTCGTCAATAGTCACGAAGAATTTTCTCGTCAAAAGTTTTGAAAACGTACCGCACAAAACTACAACCGTACGAAAAAATCATTACTAACACGAAACAGCGTTATTTGTTTTATTAGTCTCATCACTTTCCCACGGCCTGGATCAGCGATAATATAAAGCTTCACAGAGACAACCAACCAAAAATCACACGCGCTCCATCGATCTCGACGAAAAAACAAAAAAATTACATCCAATAAATTTTTTTTCCAGAAAACATGAAACAAAAAATCACGAGAAAAATCGTAGGACATCTTTCTCAGAAAAAAAACAAGGGCACTTTCCTTTTTTTACAAAATCCCGGAGGCTGATAGCCCCTGTGGACAGCAGAAAACCCGCTGGACAGCGGCGAGGAAGGCATAATCGGACACATCACACATTCTTCGGAATCCCTTCGTCAAATAAATAATGTTCACTCCGAAGATGTGTGCACAATTCACACCGGAAGTCCCCTTGGATCACCACAAGGTTGTAATCAACAAAAAAAATCAGGTAGACGGAGGTGCAGTCCCCACAGGCACGGAATCATGCTCGATTATATCGTCGTGGAATTCGTGGCGTTGTGCGCCGTGACAAACACGGTATGGACTTTGGGCTGCGGTTGGGAGTTGATGTTGATGGTGTCGCCACCGGTCTTGCCGCCGCCGTTGGTACTAGCGGTAGTGGCGGAACTGCCGCCGAATTTCTCGGCCAACGGAATGGCAATGGCAAGGATGATGATAATCAGCACCACGATGCCGGTAATAATAAGACAAATCTTTTTCTGCAAAGAATAAATCATGTCAAACATACGTGCCTTCGCTTCGGTAAGCTACAGAAACATGTCGTAAATTGTAAGCCACTTCACAGATCATGATATAAAACTAAAAGCATCTCAGAACCGCTGAAAATTTATGTCAGTCATTAAGCGAACAGTTACTGATACACTACCATACCGGATTAAACACCTCGTTATTGCACGTTGTATTTTAACAAGAAATCTGAAACTGAACAACTATTTTGTGTTCGGATTAACAAGCTAATACGAACCCTTCTTGCACTGCTCTGATATTCCACAGCCTTTTTGGTCTCCACTTTGGCTTGCGCAACATATTCAGCCGCGTTGACCACGTTGTGTTCTATCCGATCGATCATTTCGCCCTGTTGGATCGAAAATTAAGAATCAATTAAAAAAACATTAATTCAAAAAACAATTTTTTTTAATGGCGCACTACGGTATATGAGAGTGCACCACCATCAAACGCACCAATACTTACGTAACTGAAACAGAATATCGTAGTAAAAATTTGAAAGCGTATGAAATACTTATGGCGAAAAACTACTGAAGATTATAACAGCTAAGACAAATAAACTAAAGCAAAACATGTAAAATTTCCACTGCACTACGATTCGCACTACTCAATTACGAACGCCCCATGCAATTCGGCGTTCAGAAATCGACATGGTATCGACGTTTCCAGTTTCGAAGTTACAGAACATTAGCAGAAAAAGTGCAGTAAACAATTTCTTCAAAATTTATAGTGCACGTTTTAAATTCAGCAAAAGCAATTCAAAAACATACTGCGAAGTATATGAACCGTAAAGACGCATCCGATGGAATACCGGTAGCTAGTAAAAACCTGTAAAATGACTATACTGATAATCACCTAAATGAAAATTAAAACTCTACCAGCGTTAGAAAAAATCTGTTAAATTACTATTGTGACAGGCAAGCACAGAGAGCTCACAGGTGACTTTATTGTACAAATAAAGTGGAGCAAATGCCGCGTGAATGCGGGGAAAAACACAACAAAGGCCAATGTCTGGCAGGAAAGTGAGCAGTCAAGTTGCTGCGAGCTAGTTCCAGAGCGTAATGAAATGTAGAGAAAGAAATGTGCTGGCGGCAACGGCGTCACGCTGTCCAGACACACGGAATGTGAGTGCGCAGACTGGACTCGTATCCAACGCGAGCGAATATACGCTGAGTCATACAGCGAGAGAGAGGAGCGAGAGAGCAAGTATGCTCAGTGAGTGCGCCCGCGGTGTATCCGCATAGGCGGAGAGTGCAGTGCAGCCACTCACGTACGTACAAGAGAGGGCGAATCAGCATGTGTGCAGTGATACGCATACGCAAAGTGGCGTATCTATCACGCAGGCTGTCGTGCCTCTAACATGCCTCTGGGCGGGAATCCGAGCTCCTGCGAGGATGCTCAGACTCAGTACCGCACCAGCGTCGCACCTCTCCGGTCGACCCATGTGGGGTCGCCGGTACGCGTCCTCTTCCGGCGGGAGTCCGGTGTCTGTTGACCGTCCCATCCTTCACTTCCAGATCCATGAGAGGCAAGCAACTCACGGCCGCAAATCTGGAAGCCGCTCGGGGTTCGTTGTTGGACCGGTATTGCTTCTGTTAGCCTGGCATCTTGCTTCTGTTGGCTCGCGGAGAAAGTGAAAGAAAAGTAATGACGGTTAAACAGCGCGAAGTAAAAAGTAATAAAGTTTAATCACAATTCCAGTGAGCAAAAAGTAAATGCAAAACAGATCTGGTTAGAGATTCTAAGTAAAATACAATTCCGTTTGTTAGAAAATGTATAAAAATACTAAAAAGAGATCTGTCCGGGGTCTTATTCCGACTAGGATGACGTCCACGGGTCTTGAGTTTCCACGGGGTCTCCTGTCTAAGTGCAGTCCGGTATATCAGGTCCGGGGCGTCGGTTCCCGGGTTACCCAACGTAACCGGTAATCTCGTCCGAGGTCGGGTAAGCACGGCTGACACTTACGTCCGACTCGTATTCGTCCGTTCCGGAGTAGAGAGGCACTGTCGCTGTTGCGAATGCCGAAGCATCCTCTCTAATTAAGGGGGTGGACCAAGGTCATCGGACCAAGGTCAGCCTACCGGTAAGTTAGCCGGCGGCAAGGGAGTTCGGCTAAGTCCCGAATTCCAGAAAGTCAGGTCGGACAAAACCGTACTTGTGTCGTGCGACTTCTGTGGTCGCCAAGTGGTAATGCCGATGGAATGTGGTCGGTTAAAACCGTTAAATCTGCTACCACGAGCCTGGGTGTGACTTCCGATACGAACTGGCTCGAAGGTCCGGTCGGAATTTCTTGTTCCTCCATCCAACGGTGGTTTATCCGACCTTCTGTCGGTTGAGGATGGATATCCGACCTGAGGTCGGTTGTAATGTTGTCCGACCTGAGGTCGGTAATAACGCACCTCCATGGTCGACCTCGGTAACTCGTGTTATTTAGGCCCATGTGGGGCCAAACAAGTCCCGTTAGGTCGAATTCGTCCATTCCGAGGTCGTTTCCAGTTCCGGTCTTCAGTTTTAGTCGTCTTTCACCGACCTGTTATCGGTGACTCCTGATGTCCGACCTGAGGTCGGGTATGGTGTTATCCAACCCGTGGTCGGTGGTAATGTTATACGACCCGAGGTCGGTTACCACGTGACTGGTCCGTTCAAAGGTCGTATCTCGGCTGATCCGCTGGTGTTCCAAGCGAATCAAGCGATCCGGCGTTCCTAACCGACTTCTGTGGTCGGTTGGACCGGTTCTCCGACCTGAGGTCGGTAATAATGTTATCCGACTGGAGGTCGGTTACTCCAAGTCCCAGGTCGATTGAGGCCGAATTCTTACATCCGGAAGTCATTTTCCGTGAATCCTTACGATGGCGTTTCCATCCACCGACCTGTTGTCGGTTACTTCTCATGTCCGACCCGAGGTCGGTTACAACGTTATCCGACCCGAGGTCGGTGATTCCATGATTCCGTGTTCAACCGAAGTGAGTTACGGTATGCAGGCTCAAAGTGGAGCCATACAAGTCCGTTTCGGTGGAATCGTCCTTATAACCGACCTGTTGTCGGTTATTCCACTTTTTATCCGACCTGAGGTTGGACATAATGTTATCCAACTTGAGGTCGGTGATTCCTCATCCAGGTCGGTTCCGTCCGTCAAGAGGTCGGTTTCAAGCCTCTGGGCGCTCATCCGAGCTCCTCGAAGTCGTTTTCGGAGTAAATTCCGGTTGGTGCCTCTAACATGCCCCGGTTCGGGCTCGCGTTTTTGCCTCTGGACGGGTCCGAGTTCCGTCAAGTTCGGCGGTTCTATGGCGTCTGTTGGCCATTCAGCATGCATTCCTGATTACTTATGGCGTCGAAGGACTTCTGTGGTCCCTTTTAACCAGGTAATCTCTTTGGTTCGTTTTGTGCGTCGGGCCCCGACTTATGCCAGACTGCCCGTTCCCATCCCCATGCAGCATGCAACCTGGGGTAGGATCAGATCACTTCGCCTCCCTGGTTGGAGTTTCTTTGTTCGGTTCCGCGAACCTGCGACGCCTTGTCTCTTCTGTTGGGGGAAGACATCGCACGTCCGCGGGGAATTTTGCTTTGCCGGTGACGCTGGCCAACTGGCCGTTACTGTTGCGGGCAGGTGGTCATCGCCATCGGGGTTAAGAGGGGTGCAGGTCGAGTATTCTAACTCGGTCTGCCTAGGGTGTTCCATTTGAGACATGGGGAAGCAGGTCGCGGCGGAGTCGTTGGTATGGTGGCCAAATCACCGTCGCTGTTCCTCTTCAGGTAATGGCAGCACGGTCAAGCCGCGCGTAGTCGTGGTCACCGGTGAATCGGTTGGTTTATCCGATATCCTCCGGGGGAGACTGCGGTTGGACTCCAGGTACAGGTTCCTGGTTGAGAGCCTGTAGGTCCGGGTTCAAACGGAGAATCCGTCCAGACTAAAATCGTAGTCAGGTGTCGCGGTTTGCGGTCACCTTTACCGACTTCTGTGGTCAGTGAAGACTGCGATAAAGCCATCCCGTTTGTAATTTCCATATGCTTCCGTCAGGTCGACGTCGGTTGGTCAATGTTTAGAAGGTCGGCTACCGTTGGCAGATCGACTTCTGTGGTCGATTCTAGGTAGCGGGTCATAGTTGACACTATCCGTTCCGTTGCGGTCCAATTGATTCCATGTTATTTAGGGACTTGTTATCCTATCGGCCGTCCGTTTCTCGGAGTTAACCGTGGGTGCCTTGGCAAGCATGGTCCTGAACACACCGCAGTGCTGTGTTCCGGGCCATGCTAGCGGAATCCTCGCTGGTTCGTACTCCGGAGTCCGGTTGCCGGAGTGTTGATGGCTTAAGGGCTTCGTATCGTTCTCCTTCCCGAGTCTGGTTGATGCCAAATCTCTTTTGGAAGAATCCCTTGCTCAGGACGAAGTCCAAGTCGTCACCCAACATGTACTTCTCGCCTCCTTTCGTTCTGTTGACGGGCTTGTACTTCGGGTCGACCAGCTGGGGTTTTTTAGCTTCCCATTCAAATTCGAACCTAGCTACCAGCTGATGTAGAACTTCGCCGCGGGTCAGTCCTTCCGGATGCCACGACATTTCCATACACGCTTCGATGGCATGTACCCAACCTTCATAAGTGGTCGGCGCCGGATCTCGTTTCTCCGGTGGGAATTCGTAATACATCCGCTTGCTGCTGGTGTATGTCCGTATGATTTTACTTTCGTTGTACCCAAGGTTACAGTACCGGTATACGTTGCTCTGGCTTAGTTGCCTCCAACCTCCACCGATGTCACCGATCTTATGGTGCCTGAGGAGCTGGAATGCGATCTTCGGTGTCGCAAACTTCGGTCCACAGGTCGCCAGGGCCTTCAAGGCCGCGAAAGTGTACATCCATCCCGGATCGTATTCCGAGACGCGTGGGGGTAGAGTATGAGCACGTTTAATGGCCACCGTCGGGTGTTTGACGTTTACCTTCGGTAGGTTAGGAATCTGTAACGGTAGGACTTCCTGGGTATCCTCGTTCCATTCCTGGAGGAGTTGATTCGGATCGGAATCCGGTGTTAACCGTACTTGTTGACGGTAGTTCTGAGGAACGTAGACGTCACCACTATCTTCATCCATCGGCTCGTCAGCTTCGTTGCCGTCGTTGGCCGGTGGTTCGTTCTGATTGTCAGAAATCTCCGGTTCACCCTGCTGTTGTGGTGCCGAAGCTGGTGGAGGTTGATCGTCATCGTCGTTATCGTCATCCTCCGACCCTTCTGGTGTTTGATAGGTGTCGTCATCGTCCTCATCTTCTTCTTCTTCGTCCTCGTCTTCCTCTTCCGAGGGCGTCTTTTCCTTGGTCTGCGCCAACTTCTTTGTTGACTTAGCCGGTTTAGGTTGACCCTTCCGTGGAGTCTTACCTTCCGGAGCCGGTGAAGTTTCCATAGGTGAGGTCGGTGGAAGAGATTGCGTGTCTTTCACCGCAAAACGTCCGGTTGTAGTCCGACCTAGCTTAGTTGCACTTGCCCTTGCTGGTGCCGAGGCGGTGTTGACATATGTTACCGGTTCAAACGGTGCCCGAGGTCGGTTGGTTGGTAGTCGTTTCTGTGACGACATACCTGACGCCCGTGCAATGTTCAACATGTCCGCCGCCTCGCCGGATGGTTGTTCATCCGACTCACTGTACTCCTCGACGACCGTTTCAGTACCTTCGGGAGAGGACTGTAGGTTGATATAGGATATCCGGAGTTTGAAATCGCGTCGTTGCTGTTCCGGTATGAACCGAGGTACTGTGTACCGAAGTGGTAAATCGCGTTCCGCGTTGGTCGTATGGAGGAAAACTCTGCCACCATCGTTGCGATGACAGGTCCTAAGAGGCCCATTATGACGTCAATATTGCCTTGGCTGTTCTCGTACATAACGTTGTATATACGGGCGATATGTAGTAAGGAGGATCCGCGGGGGTTTCTTGCGTATCCGATGCATCTGACGATTCTCGTCGGCGGGTCGTCCAGTGCTCTGGCAGCGGCACTTTTGAGCTTTTGAATGATGTCCGGTGCGATTAGCTCGGCGGTCCGTCCCCATTGTCGGTGGACCGCTACGGCTAATCCAAAGTCCAAGGCCCATGCCACTATAGCCATCATAAGTTTCTGTGTGAGCCAGGGTGAGGTCCGACCTACGATCCTTAAGTTGGTCGAGAGGTCGCGCACCAATGACTGGTACACATCTCTGCCTTCGTTTCGGGCGTTCCTAACGCTTCGGACTATTTCGACGTGAAGTCGAACCGTATGAAATCCGACTGGTCGGTCGCCAGGTTGAGCGTCGGGTAGCCGCTGACGTACGTCATCGGGGGCTGGCCATTCAGAAGCGTCAGTGTCTTCTTCGTGACTCCATTCTTCATTACGATCGCCTTTGAATCCTTCGTATGGGTCGGCTTCTCCATGGTCGGAGATCTCGTCGTCAGGTTCCGACGGTTTCTCCGATTCGTCGTCCGAATCTTTCTTGGACGTAGCAGGTTTCGGTTGCTTGAGTGGTGGCTTAGGCGTCGGCTTAGACCTTTCGTGTGGTCTTTCGGCCTCTGTTTTGGTCACCGCTGTACCTGCTCTGGCGATCAGTTCTCGCATCCGCTGTTTGGCTGCGTCGTAGTCAAATTCCTCCTTGGCGTTCCCCTTTTTGTCCGGCTTCTGTGGGCCAGCGTCTGAGGTATCAAGGTCTTCGGAGGACTTATGCCGTTTGGCCGGGTTAGGTTTCGGCGTCTTAATCGAAAGGTCCGACCTCGGTTTAGTCGGTTCCTTCGGAGGTTGTTTGGTCACCTCCTTTTCAGCTTCCTTTCTGGCTTCTTTCTTAGCCTTCTTCTTTTCCCTCCGTGACAACTTAGCCGAGTTAGCCGAGTTGATCACCTTTGAATCCAGTAATTCGTCCTGGATCTGCACGGAAGGTTCCCTTACTGGTTGAGGGTTCTTCATCTTGACCACCAATTGACGTGTTGTCGTGGAGGTCGACTTCGGGTCCGGTGCGAAGAGTTTCGGTCGGGTCGTGGCGGCCTGTTGTTGTGCCGCAAGTCGGACCTTCTCCGCACGGAATCGTTCTCCCATTCTTTTCATGACCTCAGCCATCCTTTGTGTAAGGCGTTCATGTTCCTTACGGACCGCGTCGGTGTTTCCAACGAGGTTAGCACGGCGTGACTTCAATGAGTTCCAGAGTTCTTTGTCCTCTGGGAACGCAGTGTCCACACTCGCATCCTGTTCCGACCTGGTCAGGTCCTGAACGTGTTTCAAGGCTGGGTCATCGTGGTATTCTCGCGAGAAATCGTCAGCCGGTTGCTGCTTCTTTTTGCTTCTCTTACCCGGAGCTGTTGCCGGCTCATCTGTCCGAGATTCGTCAATGACCAACTTGGCTGGTTCCGAAGTCGATTCATTCTGTGATTCAGGTCCGACCTCCTTTGGAGACGTCGTATCCATCTCCTCCGGGGTCTGTTTCGGTTTAGTTGGAGTATTCCGGGGCGTGAACCTACGTGGTTGTTCCTTCGGAGGTTGACTCGGCATCGTTGCCGGTTGAGACGCTGCCCGGTTCGGTGAGATCTGTTTCACCGGAGACCTACTCCTTCTCGGCGTTGATTCTGCCGGTCGAGATCCATATGACGACCTGGAGCTTGTTTGTGCATCCATCAGCAGAGTCTCTTGCCAGGTTAAGTCGTCGTCATAGGTCGGGTCATCTTCGATCTGGGCACCCTTTCTGTAGTTGTGGTCAGATTCGTCGCTACTGTCGGACATGATGCACCGAATCTTCTCGGTAACCTGTTGACCGGGTTGAGGGGGCATCTCCAACGTGTAGGCTGCAGGGTTGATGCGAGGGTGCCGGAGTAGTTGGGCTGGCTTAATAATGGCCGCATCCAGCGGAAGCTGTCGTAGTGCCTGTCTTCCGCACCTCACAAACATCAGTCGGCGTAGAGCCTTGTCCCTGTCCTGGATTAGCGCGTATATCCGCTGACCGAGTGCTTGTTGCTCATCAGTGGATAGCTTTCCTAGCCTCAATCCCTCTGTTAGGTGGGCTTCGTTGAGAATCCGTTCCAGGTCATAGTTCTTGGCCTGTCGGACTAACTTCTTATGGACTCCAGACGTAAACACTGACTTTGTTACCGAGGTCGGTTTCTGTGACTGACCCGGTTGTGTTTCATCCGCTGGAGTCTTTTTCAAAATTTCCAACAGTTGTTCCTTTGTTCGGACTGGTGGAGGTGAGAATAGACGTCTCCTCGGACCTTTGTCGTCTGCTATGGGCTCTTTATGTGAGAGTCCCAGCAGAGTTGTTGGTCGAGTGAGTCGGGCAGCTGGCTTTGGTTGGCCGTCCTGCGGTGTTGTTGGTGTTTCGGAAGTATCCATATCCACCTGTTCGAATGCACCGACCTCGAGTTCGTTCCCGAGTGGCGGTACTTCATCCATTGGTTCATCTTGTTGAACCTCCAATGGTTTGACAGGTTGGACCGGTGGCTTAAGTGTCGCCTTAATCTTCTTCGCGGGAGTTTTCAGCTTGCGTTCTGCTTCCTGTTGTTTGCGTTTGTAGAAGTCTTCCGCGAAGCTGTCAATTTTGACTTTAAGAATCCGTAACCGATCCTGATTCTTGACGGTCCGTTGCGTCTCAGGTCGGAGAATGAATCGGACCTCCTTGGTATTGTTCTCCAAGTGGCCTAGGTTGATGTCAATCTGGCAGTACTGCGGAGTCTGCGGGTCGGTTGAGTCCCGTAATTGGTAAAGTTCACCAATCAATCTGTCCGCGGTCTGCAGAGTCAACTGGATTTCGTCATCCGGTATGGATTGTGGAACTGCGAAAGGGTCCGTCGGGTTACGTGTCGACTGGATTTGTGTGATCCGAGCTCGACGATCCGTTGCTGCAGTTCGCAGCGATGCTTCAGAGGTTTCCTTTCGTTGTTGGTCACGGTCCCGTTCTTCAATGTAATCTCGGACTCGCGTTTCCAACCAGGAAGAGGTCCTTATTATATGGCCTCTTATGCCGGGAGTCTTCGGCGCGTCTGGATGGTGGAGTTGGCGGAGGAACTTTACGTTAGTTCCCAGGCCAAAATATCACGGTCCAAGTCTTGTGCTAACCGGCTGTTGGAATCACAAAAGATTCGACGGGCTCTCATTTCTGTGATGAGTTCCATCGTCTGATTCACCAGGTTAACCAAGTGAGGTGGTGCGCTTGTTGGCATCGTTCCTGGGTCCGGTATTGCTGACATTATTCTAGCTTCAGTAACCGGGGACATAGGTCGGTCGCTAATGTCCGCTGGCTTAGGCTGAACCGTTCCTACTGTTGAGGTCGGTGGGCCGGTCCTGCTGTAGAGGTCGGCTGAGTCGAGCTAGTCGAGGTCGGTGCTGACTGCTGACTTTGAAGCGCGGCGATTTCCGCCGTTAGTTCGCGGACTCGTTGTTGCGAGGACGTCAGTCGGTCTTCAGCGGCCTTCTTGTCGGCTGCTTGGGCTGGATCTTTGTCATCCATGCCGGCGAGTCGCACTGTCATGTTGACAACGATTTCTCCGCGTAACTTAGGGCGCTTCTTAACGTAGCCAAGTCCTGTACTGGTGGCTTCGGCTGAGCCGGTCCTCCTGTTGAGGTCGGCTGCTGCTTTGCTGCTATCCGAGTCATCATTCTACGGTGACCGTCGATTTTGTTTTGGAGGTTAGTGACGCGTATCTGCGAGAATCTAAGTTGATCCTGCAGTGCTCTCTTCACATTAGCCATTGTTGGGTCGTGGCCTTCCATCTTGTTGATCTGGGCCTGGAGGTTGGCAGCTATTTGTTCTGCCCGGGCGAAGTCCGTCTTCAACCTCTTCATTTCCTCCCGGTCAAGTTCGCCTTGTGTTTTAAAGCGTGGATTCGCCTCCAACGTTTTCCACAAATCATCAACTCGTCTGAAGCAGATGGTATGCTGTTGTTCCAGCGCTACCTTCAGGCGTTCTTCCGACTTATCTGCTGAGTTGAGGTCGCGAAGCTGTTTGGCTAGATTCTCCAGCGTATCTACAGCTTCTCGGTACTGATTTTCGACTTCGTCCAGGTCGACCTCTTGTTGGTCTCTGGTGTCTTCAGCGAATTCATGTCCATCAGCAGGTGTCGGTGATATGGCTGAGAGGGTTCCGCTGCAGGTGGCGTTGCCTCCTGGCTGGTGCTTGTGTTGGCACCGGCTGATACCGTTTAACATGGTCGATTATCGACCGAAGAGCTTCCTCCAACCGTTCTCTGGGTTGGCCACATGTTGGGACGCCCCATTCGCTAAGTGTTTCAGCGAAATCCAGCTCGATCCGCAGGTGTCGATCCGTTCGTTCGAGGTCGGTCACCTTCGTTGGTGACATCGGTCGATTCAGCTGGTAATTGTAAATTTCAGCCAAGTCCCGACCTGCGTGGGCAATTGTCTCCACGTGCTTCAGGACGTCCGGTATCGGCGTTGTTCGTACCAACGTCATTACTGCTGTTGTGGTCGGTGCTGGCCGTTGAGGAGGTAATGGTGTGGCAATCCGAGTGCACGACGATTCTGAATCAAGGATTTCTACGATCCTTTCAACTACCGACCTGAGTTGTCGGCTTTCAGTGTCGTTCGGATCGACCTTATCGAAGAGGTCCTGGGCTTGCTTTAAGTAAGCAGCCAGGGTGTCAATCTTCTGACGCGCCGTTCTAATGGCATCTGGGTCCGTAGGTGTCAGGTGTACATATGCCCGTTGGAGGTCGTCGAGCCGGTCCCATCCATCCGAAATGTGGGTGGATATCCGGGTTTGGCGGTCTTCCTGTACTTTGTTGTGCAGGGCCGTCCTCGGCGACGTCACTGGACTTGCTGACTGTGTGGAGAAGTCCGGGGATACCACATAGTTCCGGTTCGGTAGGGGTATCTGCGGTGGCGGGTTCTTTTCAAAGAGATTTTGTTTCTCAATCCACTCGACCGCCATCCGAAGCTGGTGTTTCTCCTGTACTGTTGCGGTTGACGGGTCTTTCTTAACCAGGCCTCTGCGAGCTTTATGTAAGCTCGGAGGTCGGCAATTTTGGTTAAGGCTCTTGGTTCGGTGCCCAACAAGACGCGTTCGTAGATTGTCCGAAGCGTGTCTTTGCCTTCGAGAATGGCTCTCCAAGCTGCTTCTGTCTGCTTGGACTCCTCCGTTTGAGTGCCATTGCTTGATACTTCCTATCGCGGTTTTGGGGAACTTGTTGTTCCGCCATTAAAGGTTCGTTCTGGATCAGAGTTTTAATCGCTCCAGGATGTTAATGAGCCGTTGAGCTTCGTCGTCCGTTGTTGGTCGACCTCGGCTGCTAAGGCGTTCTGCCGAGTAGATGGCTCTATCCAGGTCGGCAAGTCGTTGTGCGTTGCCGATTACCTCGCCTAAATCCATGATGTGTTCATCCATGGTCCATACCTGGCGAAGTCGTCTGGCCTCGTGCAGCGTGGAAGCGATGGCCACGGGGTCGGGTATCCGTAGTTGTTCGGATCGCCCTTCTGACGCTTCTAAGTTTTGGGAATACTGGGGGTACTGGTCCATTAACTGCCGAAGGTGAGCTATCTTCTGGTGGAAGGTCGCTAAGGGCAGTTGTTCCTTGGGGATGCCGTTCTTGATCACGTGTTGGATCTGGGCATTGGTTTTCTTAATATCTTGGGAGTCCCTTCCCAGTCGGGTTGACTCGTGCAGTTCGAGTCTCCGATCTTGTCCGACCGCCTCCATTCGGGTCATCATTATGTCTGATACCCGCTGGAGATACTGTAGTTCCTGTATAATCGGATCTACTACCGCCTCCTGTTGGGCCGGTGGGTTCGGTGCTGGTTGAGGTTGCACGTTCGGCATATTGGGCACCGTAGCTGGCGAGGTCGGACTCGGCTGAACCGGTTGTATCTGCTGAGTCGGGGGGACAATGGCGAGTTCCGGGGGCGGTGTTCCCTCTTTCTCGATTTGTTCATCCATGTCCCTCATATAATGGTCCCAACCAATTAGTTGGTCCATGACCTCTTTCCATGCGGCATGGTTGTCAGGTTGTTCAGTAGACAGCTTATGTAGCGTCTGTCTGAGTTCAACCGTTTCGTTCCACGCGTCTTCTCGTTGTTGTCGGAGTTCGTCCAACTTCGATCGTTTCAGCTCAGCATCCCTCCGCTTTCTGCGTTCCATGGCCTCCGCGAAGGATGTCCGACTACCAGGCTGTGTGGTAGACGAGGTCGGTTCCTGGTGGAGGCATCGACGTAACGACTTGCGTGGTCGTTGTCGATGACGGTTGAGCTGTGGAGGCGGACGTCGGTTGGGCCGCTCGTTGGTTCCGAATCGCGAATATATTCGTGTTGTCGTTAATGAAGGTCTGGAGTCCGGAGATTCGATCCAGGATTTCCACCTTCTGTCCAGGTAACCAGGAGTTGTCGGTGTAATTGTCGACAACTGGTGCGTCAAGTCACGCGCCTGGTCACGAGCGATTTGGTCGAGTTTCCGTAACTCTCCGTTGGTATCGACCTACTTTGCGTAGAGGTCGGTATGGGAAGTTCGGTCGGTGGCGGGGGAGGTCGCGGCGGTACGACTTGTGTGGTCGTTGCCAGTACAGTCCCATGTGGGGCCTGTCCTCCGTACTGACTCAAGTGCTGGTTAAGCGACTGAATCAAGTACTGTGCCACCTGTGGATTCCCCCATGGAATCGGTTGTCCCGGGAGTCCGATGTGAGTCGGTGAGACTGGTCCCGTAAGCGGTAAAGGTGGAACCACTCCCGCAATGCTGAATGTTCCAAGTCGGGGAGGTGATAGGTATTGTTTGGCCCTATCGCGCTGAACGTTCCGAATCGCGTTGGTGACGTCGGAGTTATCGTTCCCATTCCTCCCGACACTGGCACGTATCGAGTTACAGGTCCAGCCCATGTCGGCTGGCTCGACGCCAAAGTAGGCGTTGTGAAAATCGGCGGTGGTACGTTCACCATTCCAGGCACTAACGTAGGCACTGGATAGGTCGGACCAACCATTGTTGTTGGTACCGGCCATCGGTAAGGTTGCGTTTGACCAAGTGGGTCTCCCGCAGTTACCGTAACGGGTTGGTTACCGTTCGCGCCATAGTTGACGAGGAGTCCGCCAGTAGTAAATCCAGTGTTCGGTGGCAGATGCTGCGGTGGTACAGGTCGATATTGAGGGCTTCGTTCTGGCCCGACCGTTAAACCTGCTAAGACATTAGCTGTATCGTTAGCATGCGGGTTATGTACCTGCGGCAGCGGTGTGTTCGTTGCCGACCGCGAGTTATCCGATCGCGAAGTCGAGCGATGGTGAGACGGGTAAGGGTGCGATCGGTTTGATCCGCTACCACTGCGTCCACTGTTGGATCCGCTAGAAGGTGGGTCGTTACGTTGTCGGCCCGACATTGTTGTCTGCTGTTAAGGAGAGGAATACGGCGCGTTAGAATTCTACCAACTCCCGTATATTCAACTGAAGACGTTCCAATCAACTGAAGAGGTTCCATTTCGACACCAGAGGTCGGCCTATACCTAGTAGTTACTTTTGACTACCTATAACTTATTCTAAGTTACGCCTATGGCCCTATAACTGAGTCTGTTCTGTTGTGACTGCTTGTTTAGGTGTCTTTGATTTTGCTGTTTTGACTGGTTTCTCCGAGTCGGCTCGTCCTTCCGAAATTCTATCGAGGATCTCCTTGTGAGCTTCGTCTTCAGCGACTTCAGTTTCCTCCAGCACTTGTTGTGCTGTCAGCTTCGGTTTCTTAACCGTTCCGGTCTTCCGTCTCGGCTTGGGCGGTCCGACCTCCTGGTCGGTCACTTCGACTTCCGTGGTCGGTGCCGCCGGGTCGGTTGATTTAACCGTCCTTTTCTTGTGAGTCCTTTTGGCTTCGTCGGTGCGACTGCCGGGTCGGCTACTTCGACTTCTATGGTCGGTGCCGCCTGGTCAGTCGTCTTATCCGACTTCTTCTTTCTTGCCGGTTTAGTCACCGACCTCTTGGATTCTTCCGTGGGTTGATTGGATGGCTGAACCGGTTCTTCGGACTTGTTGTCCGACTCCTTAGGCTTCTCCGAGGTCGGTTCGGCTGGTTCATCCGGTATCACATTTTGCTTCTGCAATTCCTGCAGGGCTGGTGTCTCGAAGTCCATCGGCGGTTTCTTCCGAGGTCGACCTCGACCTCTTTCTTAACCGTTACTTCGGGTTGGTCGGTTAAGTCCAATTTCTGCGATTGTTCGATGGTTACTTCGGGCTTTTTAGTCGACTTACTGGTTGCCTTCCCTTCTGTGGGGTCGGTTCCCAGGTCGTTATCCGGCTTCTTTGTCCAGATGACCGAGTTACGGGTCGACGTGCGTCGGCTGGAAAATGTTTCACTCGGTCGACGGCTACGGTGTCTTCCCGTCCGTCCTCACTTCGGAGTAGTAGATTGTTCGGGCCAACGTAGCTGATGACCGTCCACTCTCCGTCGTATCGTTCCATCCTGGCGGGGTCCTTAGTTGGGAATTCCACCGTTACCTTATCCCGTGGTTTGAAGGTCGGTGATGACTTCTTATTATAAACTTCGGCGCTCCGTTC